CGTCAAAATGTATGCACTAATTTAATGACTTTTTTTCTCAACTAAGTTTATCATGATTAAATCGACATATTGAAATGAAAATAACATTAAATTAATTAATATAGTTAAAATTCAATTTATTTAACATGCATGTACTTATACCACATAACATATATATATATATATATATATATATATATATATATATATATATATATTTTTTTTTTATAAAAAGAACACTGAGAGATTAAAGGGTATTATAACTAAATATCTTTTAAAGATATAATAATCCTCGTTGTTAATATTTAATTTACATGCAGGTGCTCATTAATGTAAATACAGCTGTGAATACATTACGTATTTGAAAATTTGTTAGTTTCGGTAAAAGTTTAATTGTTTTTATCAAAATAAGTTCTATGTTATATGTATATATATGTATATATATTAATATGAATGAAATTGAAATGAATTTCGATATTGTAGAATTGCAATAGTTTCCAAAACTCTATTTTATTATTTACAATTATTATGTTTATCTTGGAAATTATTGTAGTCTGTACCATTCTAGCTTTTATCATTTTTACATTTTTTATAGATACACATGGTATAAACATTCCGATGAGAATGACTTTTATTTCATATTATACTTTTGGAAGTATACATTATTTAAGTTAAATCGATTTTTAAACTTAATAATATTGGGAAATATGCCTATTTGTAGTTAGGATAATTTAATATATAAATCAATCAATATCAATTTATCAATTTATCTCGTATGTTGTGGGCAATTTCTAGATGCGGAGATAACAATTTTGCATCTGCGATTGTAATTTGCAAGGAATCATCGAATCGATGACCCCTCTATAATTTTCGCATGATTGTTTTCTCGCACATTGCTGAAACATCAAACACTTTGATGATTATTAGGATACACAGCTTTGCCAATTGATTATATATATATATATATATATATATATATATATATATATATATATATATTTGATTTGACTTGATGGTCTAATAAAAAGCCATAATGTTTAATGTTAATGGCAAAACTGTTGGAATTTGTATTAGGCGGAGAGGTCGCTGATAACGAGGTTAAAGTACCGCATTTTGCAGTTTTACGACTCTACACGTGGTAATTCGTCGTAGTCGACGTTAGATATACGAGGTCGGCCGTGATAAGGCCCAGGTCGAGCGTTTCCGTTCGGTATAGTCGAGAAATTTTCATTCGCCTTATTAAAATTTTAGTCTAATGAAAGCGGCTCTAATAGTAGTCTAACGACGGCTGTTAGTTATTTTATTTATTTGAATAATTTTTAAACAAGATAGTACGACTCTTTATTGCGTTAATCAATATTTGCTCTATTATCGAATTTTGGCTGTTGTAACGTTAAGCCTTAGTAATAAAGAGTTAAATATTCGTAAAATAATGGATAAAACTAATATTTTTATACCAGATGAGTGAATTATTGTATATACATATATATATATATATATATATATATATATATATATAAAGTTGTAATATTATTTATTATAGAACGATCAAACAAATAGAGCTTACGCTCGGGCTAACCAATACACACGTACACATGCATGCGATTGGCAATAAAATATTCAAACATATAAATTAATTACTTAGATGCTAATGTAAATGGCATATTTAAACATGCTAATGACATATTTATAATTTTAAAGATAATATTTTATTTTTGCTTTTTTTCCCCATTAAGCTCTCATTCTGCATTGTCGCGCCTTCGAAGAGATAAAAAATGTTTTATAAAATACGATGATTAAAGAATAATAGTTTCGTAGCTGTCGGTCGCTTAAAAATGTATGCGTGTGCAGTGTTGGCAGTGCGAATAGTAGATTATTCCAAATGTAATGCAGCGCGTCCGCAGATTATTCGGATAAAGTTAAAATTATCAACATTCGTATATTGAGTTTTATTGCCACGTCGGTGGATGCGTAGGATAGGGTGGTTAGTCGCGGGGAGAGTAGGAGGGTGTGTTGAAAGAGAGTTGAGAGAGAGAGAGAGAGAGAGAGAGAGAGAGAGAGAGAGAGGCAGGGGGTGGATAGAGGAGATTTGCTTCCCTTTAACCGTAAGCCATGCGTTTCGCGCGCATTTAATTTATTGCGCTTTGAACATCGATTAATTCGGACATTCTCGCGTTAGTCCCTGTTCACCACATTGCTAACTAGGATATATAGAAGCAGAGTATTTATATTGACAAAGCTACGTAAAAACGGCGAATCCCACAATTGTGCTCGTCGACTGGAATCTCCCTCTTCCTCGTGTAACGGATCCCGTCCCGTTACTTTTCGGAAAAGCCATTAATTTCCCGTACCTGCAATTTTCACTTCTTTCCCCCCAACGGGAGCAGAATGCGACGCACCTCGTGTACGCGCATCTTCGAAGGGTGGGAGAGAAAACTTGAGCTCAAAGTCGTAAATTTTCGCGCGACCTATGGAAAAAAAGGTACGAGTCCCGTGTGATGCTCGGTACGAGCGAAAGAGAAAACGGCAGTGGAAAAGCTACGGGGAAGAATAGGGTGTGACGCGACTGCGGGAATTGCATTGCAAACATAAATAATACTCTCCTCTTGCGCGCGTTGTAAAATCCGAGGAGGTTTTTCACGAGGCTGTGCACGCACGCACGCGCACGCACACGCACACGCACACCCCTTTGCTATTCCCCTTTTCCTTTTGAGGACGTTGGGCGAGCGGGGAGATGAAGCCAATCGCGCATTTTCCGAAAAGTGCTGGTCCCGCGTCGGCAGCACGGACAAAAAGAAGCAATTGCGCGCGTCCCTTTCCAGGTGGGCGGGCAATAATAATGCCCAAAGGGCCCTCTCGTAAACTCGGTATCGCGCTGAAAGTTTCGTTAAGGTCGCGGCGACTTTTCCCGGCCGGGCTCGCAAATAAAATGATTGGGCCCGGTCTCGGCGAGTTTATTGCACCGGCGGCAAGGGCCCTCGACCAGTGTCGGTAATCCTTTTCGTTTTTAAATTAGGGACGGCTGGCCGACTACCACATTATGTCCTTATTCTTCTTTGGGCCTGGCGTCGACGGTGACGTCGGAGTCGTCTGCCGCAGCGGCGGCGGCGCTACCCGAGGGAGAAAAAACAAGAGGGCCGCCGAGAGCGGGGAGGGAGGATGGGACGTTGGGCCAACCCGTTATGCAGGTAGACGACGGGGGCAGGAGGATTTTTCGTCGCAGTAAAACACTTGCGGGACCCGTATATGGGCTCGAGCGGCAATTGGCGGGAGTCCGAACTGTGGGAACGTGGAGCCGACTACACCCGGAGGCTGCGCCCCAAGACGCTTTTCGCGGCCAGTCGAGAATCCGCCTTTATATCATCCCCGGCATTTTCACGCCGACTGGGCCCACGCGCTTATCCGAGCTCCATCGCTTTCTTTGCCCTCTTGCGCCAATCTCCCTTACGTGCGCTCTCTAACCCTCCCCTCGTCTTCCTCTCCTCGTCCGTCATCTCCTCGCCGCCGTCGGTCCTTTTACCGACGGTCGAAGCGACCTTCCATTATTATTGCCGCTCGACTCCTTTCTTATCCTTACGACGGGCAATCAATTTTATAAAGCCCAACTGTTGAATGGAGCTTCTCCGTCGCGTCGGACGGCCCTTTCGCTTGTCTTTTGAAAAGCTCGGCTTTTCAGTCAGCCTCGATCACAGTTTAATTATTAATTTAATAGTAATGCGAGGGCACTTCCGGGGATCACACTTGGCTCGAAAGCCCAAGGATACGCAACTCGTATTATGAATCTTCCGCGTGCGAGGATCCGATACATCTTACTTTTTGTTTTCTAATCTGCTTTACGTGGATCTTTTTTTTTCTTTTTTTCTTTTTTATCTTTTTTATCTTTTTCCAACTACATTTTTTTTTTTTTTTTTTCCTTCGCTCCTTCTTTACGGGTATGAATTATCAACGTGCATTGACGGACGAACGAATGGCCAATCTAAAGCTCAGCGAGCTTCGAAAAATAATTATCTTTTATCTGAAAGGCGTGTAAACAAATTTTTCAAATAAATTTCCTATACCTCCGATTTTTCTTCTCGCCAGTGTTCAAATATTTAGACTAAATTGATATGAACACGTACATATGTATACACACATGCGCGCACGCATTTACATATGCATGCGTATATATATACGTATGTGTAATGAATATGTATATATAGATTTTATTTATATTTTTTTTTTTTTTTGTTTTTTTTTTTGTTTTGTTCCCCCGCTAAAATTGATCGAAAATTACAAAATACAAGCCTTAGCCCTTTATTTGACTTAAATAGAAGACAATATCATCTATTGCCGTTCGTACAAATCAACATTTGCTTTATCTCTAATGCGCCTAGAGACATTTAACGTTTCAATTACCTTCTCTCAAATATTGATAAAAACTTCTCGACATTGATATACAAATATTTATAATTAATCTTCAATTTATTCGTATAACTGAGTTTAATATGTACAGGCCATCGATGCGACTAGAGCTCGACTAAATAAACCATCATGGCTTGGACGAGCGATTCATGTAAATCTTGAATCTTGACTGGGAAATGATGGCTAAACAATCTGAAGAACCGTGATTTTGTGATTTTTATATCGACGTGAGAACAAGAAGAATAAGAGGAAGAAGGAGAGAAAGAAGATGAGGGATAAGAGTAACTTATATAAATGCAATACGCTGCACTGTGTACACGAGCTAATAAATTTAAACGGGCCTCTAACGTAACAACGATCTTCTTATACGCGTTAGGAAGAATATCTCGAGCTTCGAGCTTCAAATCGTTCTAAATTCGAATGACCGACTACGGCGCACGACCTATGTTAACGAAATGACTTTTAATAGTAATTCGCTCCAATAGAAAAACGACCGTTCTCCAGCCGTAGTCTTGGATACATTGAAGTATCGCGGTTATACCAATTATACTCGGTTATCTCGTGCCTATGTTTTCCCGTCTCTACGCTCGCATTAATGGATCATAGCGAGAAGGGGATAGGTGGAGGAGGAGGTGAAGGAGAAGGTGAAGGAGGAGGTGAAGGAGGAGGTGAAGGAGGAGGTGAAGGAGGAGGTGAAGGAGGAGGTGAAGGAGGAGGTGAAGGAGGAGGTGAAGGAGGAGGTGAAGGAGGAGGTGAAGGAGGAGGTGAAGGAGGAGGTGAAGGAGGAGGTGAAGGAGGAGGTGAAGGAGGAGGTGAAGGAGGAGGTGAAGGAGGAGGTGAAGGAGGAGGTGAAGGAGGAGGTGAAGGAGGAGGTGAAGGAGGAGGTGAAGGAGGAGGTGAAGGAGGAGGTGAAGGAGGAGGTGAAGGAGGAGGTGAAGGAGGAGGTGAAGGAGGAGGTGATGGTGGTGATGGTGGGGGGAATGGGGGAATGGGGGGGGGAGAGAAGAGTGGATCAGCTGACAAATGGAAAGGGTCGAGGCTCGAGTGGAAAATGCACGGGACGCGCGGAAGGAGCGGGAGGAGAAACGAAGGAAAGATGCGTATGGGCGCGCGAAAGGAAATTCGACTCGACGAGGGGCCAGCAGCATGCTTTATTCGGCCGAGCTCAGGGCCGTAGGAACGAGGCGGGGCCTTGGGCCAGTACAGAATCGACAACGCTCGCCACAATCGACCAATGCCATTTCAACGAGACGTCGACGTCGGAAAAATTGGCCATCGTTTCTCTCACCAAAAAAAAAACAAAAAAAAAAAAAAAAAAAAACAAAAAACAAACGTCTCCAATGCTTCCGACCATCCAATTTATGTTTAACAACTTATTTAACAGCTGTACGCGCGTGGCTGGGGTGCACTTTAAGGACGCGCCAAGATTAATCGTTATGCCCGTTGGAGTGATCGCTCGAGGAGCCCATTCGATCCCGATTAACAGGCAAACGGGGCAAAGACGTACGCCTAAAACCAAAAACGCCGTTTCTCGCAAATTCGTCCCCCGCATGTTCGACATTTCGCGCGGCAAAACAAGCACGTCGAGCACGCCAATGAAACGCGTATGAAGCAACGTTGGTTTTTGGCCTCCTGGATGAAAAGACGTTGCTCGCTCGTCTATCCTCGCAGTCGTCCGCCATTACGAATCCGACGAGCCGCGCTAATTGAAGGCGTCGAGCCGTTTCACGCGCCGATTTACGCTCGAGCAGCGTCGGGTATTCCGGGCGCGAATGGGCCAAGTGGGATGGGCCCGTCTAATCTTCCTGCATATTCCTCGTACAAGGGAAATTTGTACGCGGGCGCTCGTTATTACGTTACTAATCGTTAATCGTCAATGGTCGTCGAGGTCGCGCGGTGAGGAGCGAGGAGCGAGGAGCGAGGATCGAGAGCTCCTTAGTATTATGGTGACCTCGGGCATTCGCACGTGGAAAAACGACGGAGGAAATAGCGTGGTACGGCCCTGGTTACGCGCATGCGCCCCGCGGAAAAACCCTCTCCCGTTGCGAGGTTATCTGGCAGGCTCATTGTTCCCGGGCGCCATGGCCTCGCGTGGCGAAAGCCCATGGAAAAACGCTGCCACGAATGCGACGAGGCACCTCCGGACAGCTGACGGAGGATTACACTTGGAGCGATCGTCGATTTATGGAAGGTGGAGGTCGAGGGGTGAGACTCGGCCTCGCTCCTCCGAACGTCGTCGGCGCGCTCGATCATAAGGGAGATTTCCGTTGCCGATTCGAGCCTCCTACAAATGGAGCTTCCGAGCAGCAGCCAACTCGTGTCGCGGGTTCCCCAGTCCCGGGGCCTCAATTCCTCATCTTTTTGCCTATTTTAAGATGAGTCTACTATTCAATAGTCTTCTTTGTCAATTGGATGGGAGAGCCAAATGGGATGCGTGTGCGTGTGCGTGTGCGTGTGTGTTGAAAGGGTGGATGGTATGGGAGGTATGCGGGTGGTTTTTTTTGGGGGGGGGGAGGGGGGAGGGGGGGGGGTGGGAGTAGCGAGAGACAAAGTTCAAGATTTACAATGAGATTGACTTACTTTCTTGCCAAAATCCAGTCGTTACGTACGACGCGACTAGGCGACGAAAGTAAGCAGATCTAATATTAGATCTCACTGTCTTTTATGCCGTATTTATCGGGTCGTTAAGTTGTAAATAAATAGCTTTTTTACAGTTGGTAGATTAGATATTCGAGGGAAGATTTAAAATTAGATGGAAAATTTACTTGTTAAATTTAATGATGCAGCAGTTGCCGATCTTGCGCAGAATGAATACATCTCTTTCATTATGATTATCTTTAAGCGTTATAAATTATACGAGTCATGCTGAATCACAGAGGAACTAAACCATTCCAAAGACATTAAAAAGCAAATGTAACATTGTGTAACATTGTGTACCTCGATGATGCACCAATTGCCTCGACAGCCATTCTCGTATCTTTTGAAAGAGCGGATGTGTGTGTGTGTGTGTGTGTGTGTGTATTGTGCATACCTGCCTACGATCATTCTACATGCGCGAAACCTGGTATTTATTTCTTCATCATCGTCATCTTCTTCTTCTTCTTCTTCTTCTTCTTCTTTTTTGTTCTCCCTTTCATAGACATATATGTACACTGCCATTGTATTCATTAGGAAATAAAATTTCTTTACGCTACTCACTTAACAAAACGTAGTTTTGTCTTTAATATTTGGGGCATTAACCTTTTGGCATGAATGAAAGTTATTCGTGTCCGCATAGCTTATTATGCGCTTCGAGAAAGTAAGAAAGTGCTCGAAAGTGCTTTCATTAAACAGAAATGTCAAGTTCGTGTGTGATTCGAAAGATGGATTTTATGCAAACCATTGTCAATGTAACTGTATAAACTATATATTTATTATGCGAAAGAAGAAAAATGGAAAAGTTTTCAACTGTAAATTGGGACTTTTGGCGGGTTATTATTATTAAATTTAATTATTAAATTAAAAGTAAAATTTGACTGTAGTATTGAAAAAAAGTATTGTAAAATAAATGTGTGTATGATTAATCGAAAGCATTATTAAATTAATGTAACTTGACTGAATATAATGCAATTAGCCATAAGAAAAATATTGTAGAAAATGCGGGCAGCGGAACATTAAGCGCCCAAAAGCTTTTAACAGATTGTCAACTACTCTTATGTAATATACCGTTTTGTTAATCGCTATTGTTAATTTCTGCTAGAGATAAATGTAATGTAAGCTTCAAGACAAATAAAACAAAACAAAAAACAAAAAAACAAAAAAAAACAAAAAAAAAACAAAAACAAAAAAAACAGTCTATATAAAAATATGCAGTCTGCTTAAATGGTAAAATTATTTTTTAAACAATAATGCTCGTTCTTTCGTAATGATCGAATACGAATAAATGCGCGACAAAGCACTACTACCTTGGTCGTTTTATTTATCTCTTTCTTTCTCTTATTTCACATTTATTCGTAATTGAGTTGTTTGAGAGTGTAAAATAGACATTTGAAGAGAAATTTCGATTAACAATCTGCAGTTTTCAAATAATAATGTCAAATATAGGCAGTTAAATTATAGTAAAATTTAAGTATAATTAGATAGTGGAAGTCGGTATGACTTGGTAGCCGTTAATGTTACATTAACTTAATGACGAATATTGATAAATACACCGTTAGCCATATGTTATATTTGCCTTAGGAAAATCCAGTCTATATTCTCCCTCCAAGCGATATTTGTTTGGCAAAAATTCCATAGAGCAGTAGTTTAACTTTGTTATCGGCATTCGATATACGTAAATATTGCGTTTTATTTAATTATTATACGCTACATTAATCAGACAAACACTTTTTATTTGAATTAAATTGAGATTCTAATAATGGCTTTTATGAAATTCGAACGATCAAGATCTTCTTATACAAATAATATTGCTACCGTTCACTTTATTTAACCAGCTAATTTATTTCAAAATTTAGCGTTCGCTATATATTTAAGATAATATTTTAAATAATCTTTGATATTATATTCTTACACTACACGACAATTCACAGTAAAAAAAAAAAAAAAAAAAAAAAAAAAAAATAATCAAATTTTGTACAAACGAAAGCATACGTATTTTATTAAAAAAAAACTATGACAATAAATAGTTTAAGCCACATTAATTTGGTTTCTAAAGAATTTTTTACGTCATACAAAAAATCATGCTGCACTGGTATAGCACAATTAATTTACAATTTACGTTATGTTGTTGTTATTCAAGTGTGACGACGTTGGCATACGAACGATTCCCCCCCCCCCCCCCCCACTATTTTAAAATTACTTTACAA